AGCGTGGCACACCCCCAGCCCCAGGGCGCGGCGCTGGGACTCACCAGAAGAGTGGACGTCGACGTGCGCCCAGAGGACGCCGACGAGGAGAGGCTGTTCTGCTGGGCGGGTAACGTGCTGTGGGAGGAGAGGAAAAGCCGTCAAGCCAAGGGAAGAGCTCTGCCTGGGCCGCTGGGCTCCACTCCCTCCAGGGCGGCCCCAGCTCCGTTACCTTCCTCCACGGCAAGCGGCAGCTGCCAGGACCAGACAACCAGAACGGAGAGAGCAACGGGACTGGGAGCCAAGTCCAGCCCAGCCAGCGCAGCCTGCATCCCAGGCACAGAGCGCCCAGGACACTGCTCTCAAGGGACCCTCCTTTGGGGGGGGCCAGGGTTCCCCACACCTGGGCCCGGCAGGGGAAGAGGCCCCTTCTCTTGCCGAGTTTGCCTGACGCTCCACCACTCAGCATGAGCGAGGGGATCCTGGAGGTGCCCTCTGGGAGAGGGAGGGGGACGCATCAGCCCCTGGACAGCAAGTGCTCTCAAAGGTCCCCTCCCCCCACCACTTCCCCAGGGCCTGGCGCTCTGCTTCGCCAGCCGCTCACCCCCGGCTCACCTGCTGAGCTGGGCCGTGGTCGTACTGGGGAGCTCCTCGCTGTGGTTCAGGCTGCTCAGCGCCGAGACGTGCTGGCTGGCGGTCGTCAGCAGGGACGAGGTGGATACTGCGTCGCTCAGGGGGGCGATATTGGGGGCAGAGGGAGAATCTGATTTCACGACAGGACCTGGAGCACCTAGGGATGGAAGCCGGGCTTAGGGGCCCCCCGAACACAGTCCTCCGGCAAACATGCATTCTCCCAAGAGCCCCTGAGGGAGGGGGATGCCGCCGAGGGGAGGGGAGACCAGGGAATTATTTCTGGCTCTGAGGTGGACATGTTGCATGACCACGATCAAGTCCCTGCACAGCCGTGCCTCAGTTTCCCTCAACTGTAAGCCGGAAGCAGGGATCCTGATCCCACTAAACAGAGCCGAGATCTAGGAAAAGGGCCGAGAGTCAGCGCTGGGAAGAGAGGGCCCCACTTCACGGCTGTGGCCCCGACACACGGCAGAGGCAGAACGTGTTCGGAGCAGCGCAGAGCAGGCCAGCAAGGGGACGGCTTTCTGGGCCAGGCTGCTGCGCACAACCCCAAAAGGAGCACGAGTGCACGTGGGGTGAGAGCAACCCCGCCCCCGGGTGCCCGCTGGCGCTCACCTTCACCAGCCTGCGCAGGCTGCAATGGGGTGGGCTGGACAGAGCTGAAACCATTCTGGAAAAAAGGGGAGAGTTTGGTCGGGCTGGATCGAACCATTTCCGCTGCATAGTTCTGGGATCCATGGGCACATACCAGCCCCTCTGGCACCAAGCTCCCTTCTCAGCCTTAACTAGGGCGCTGCCCGACTGCTGGATAGG